CCTTGTTTGATCTCAGAGCTGACGATGCTGTGAGCAGGGGGACAGACTGGAGACCTCTTTTGAGGTTCTTTCCAACCTGAATGATTCTGTGATCCCAAGGAAGCGAATCCTCTGTTCAAGAGCCCCCAGGCTCTCAAAAGTTTTCGCTAAGAACACCTGGTAAAGCCAAATGACTGAAAACTACTCTTCTTCTTACTGACAATGTGAGAGTTTACAAGTCCCCCGTGGTTTACTTCCCACAGCAAACAGGGATGAACTGAAAATTCATTGTAACTGGACAGAAATATTCACTCTAGAAATGTTAACTCTAGAAACCTGTCAAACATCAGATGAAATACCAGCAGTATGGTAATACACAGAAGATTACTTTACTACCAGAAAATTAATTACAGGATCAATTTTGATACCAAATGATATTTAGAAGTCTGTTATTCTTTCCTTAAATAAAAGGCCATGAATCATTTGGAATTAGTTACCACACAAATTCAAATGTCATTCCTGAAAATTAATGGCCATGATTAAACTGATGTGACTCTGTTGACTTCAAAATCTAATTTCAGCAGCGCTTATACCAGCTAGGATTTGTCCTAGGATTCCAAACTATGCCAGATAAATTAAGGGGCATATACCAACCCACATATTTATCACCCACTGAAAAATGGAAAAATTCAAAGAACAGACTGTTATGTATCTTCACTTGCATTAAATCCCAGATGAAAATCCAACCAAGGTAGCTTAGCATTCAGTAATTATCACAGCTACTTAGCCTTTGCACATCATAAAATAAACACCTCAATATGAACTACAGCAACTTCTCTCTGTCTTACAGACATACACCTAACTTACGTTTGGATTTTCTCTGAAAAACTGTAGAATCCTTTTCTTCCCACGCAACTTTTTTTTAATGGCAAACCTCATTTCCAGATTTGCCATTGTGATTAGGTAACATCCTACAACTCTCTCCTGTTGACGTTCTCTAATTTGGGTACTTCTCCAACTCATCTCTTTGGCTGTGACCCACAAGATCCTGGGATCTCTGGAAGAGATCCAAGACTCTAAAAGCTCCTGTTCAGCCACGGAACAACAGAAGGAAAGGCCTTCTTAAAGCTCACTAGCTACCGGAACAAGTTCGTAACAAATTCCAACATTCCTCCTATGTAATGGCTACAGAGCTTCGATTTCATAATTGTGATCCATCAAAATGTTTGTCAGTGCTCAGTCAGGTTTCTGAAAAGAAAATGAGAGTGAAATTTGGCAAATTCATGGGTATTAACTTAGGCAATTGTGAAGATGTGCTTACATACGTGCAGGTTATGCTAGCGAGTCCATTAACACATAGGCCCCAAGACTGTGTAAGTAGATATAACCAGAACTTAGACAAGTGTGGATCAGAGGAAAACAAGCTGAATATAAAACTGCAAAATGTTTTCAGAGTAGTTTCATCTAAGACACCACTTGCCTCTTGCTAGTTAGAGATCACATCTCTGGGAATCCAGTATTATATACGTCCAGAATAAAAACATCCAACCAGGACAAAATGCTTTGTGCATACTACCACACAAAATGAAAACCAAATTAGCTAGTTCTCATAAGAAGCAATTCCACAGAATTTGCAGCACTCATATACCTTTTGATAAAGCTGGTAAGCAAGGATCCTAAAAATCACTAATTTTCAATAACAGACTCAAATCCATCATTAAAACTTAATGCAAATGTCAACTTTGGTCTAAGTAGTAGTGTGAGGATAAAGAGATTACACACCTACAATGAGTTCCTACAGGATGTGGAGCAATTTGGTTCCAATCCAGTGAAGTACTCAAGTCCATGCTTAACATTAAATGCATGGGCAGTTCCCTTGCAGATGATGGAAATACTTATATGCCTAATGTTAAATATGCCCTTAAGTGCTTTACTGGGTGACGGCCAGAAAGCTCAGTACCTTACAGGAATGAGTGCAGAGCAGAACACACAGCAGTACAGGACCACAAATACCTCAGGCTAAGTCCCTCTTGCAGTGTAATACTGAGAAGCACAGTGCCGACACAGTGCAAAGACAAGCAGCTGTGTGAGTGTAGACAGGTAAGACGATGTCTTGCCTAAAGGTAATCAGGATAATTACAGAAACCTGAAGAATGACAAGACCAAAAGGAAAACAAACTGATGCTACTCCCTAACCTATAGTCTAACTATAAATTGTATTCCTGCAGTGAAAAACATTGTATTTTCAATTCCTACATAAACTGGCAGTCTGTGTCCGTGATAAGTCACATCATGGACATCATATCACAGAATTTAAGCGTACCCAGCAAGGAAGACTAAGACCCGCAGCACCCTACAACACACAGCATCTGCAGTGCAAAAGTCAGGCTGACATTCACCATGGTCCACCCGCCACAAACACCATCCAGGTCTCGCACTCCAGGCAGTCATGACGCTGCAACTCATTCACTTCCTTAGTACCAACACTGCCTTTAAAAGACTGGGCTCCAAGGCAGAGGTTAAGTCCTGCTGCTTGCTGCCATTCCTACACATCATACTGCAATGTACTGCTGTCAGCTCCCCACTACTAGGCACTCCCTTCTGGCCAGAGCCACCGCTAGCAATTGCACACTTCTCCTAAAATCTGCGTGCTGACGGGACGTGCTGCTCACCATTCTCCTGGCAGTTCTGAAGCCCACACACTTCCAAGTCCAGGAAGAGCACGTTCCACATTTGCAGAGACTCCCATGATTTGGTGAGAGACAGAGGAAGGATCTGGACTAAAACAACCCAGAAGCAGCAGCATATGGGCCTGTCATCTCCAAACTTACTCTGCAATAGCCTAGCCTAACCTTCTGTAGCATAAAAAACATATTAAAGCTGAACTACATGCATTTATTTCTATGTTTATACACCATAAGCACATATAATTAGCTAAAAAAGGGAGCATAATTAGCCATGTAATGTTACAGGTCATATTACTACACAACACCCAGATGTCCTGCTATCTCACAAAATATTAAAATACCACTTTCCTGTCAGTGGTAAACTGTATTTATTGTTGTGCCAAAATATCATGATTAATACCATCACCATAGTTAGGGACATAATGTTAAGCAAACAATCCTTTTAATAATTTTTAAAGTTGGGATTCTTCAGCATTGTACCCAAATATAACCTACGTTTCCAGAAGGGAAAAGCCTTCTGGGATATGAAAGTAACTTTGGAGCCACATGAGTCTGATGTGAATGAGACTGATCCTTAAACAAGTAGATTGTTGATTTTTCATATTCAGGCACTGGGAGGCAATGGGGGCAGGGGATTGAGAGGAACACTGCTCAGACAGAAATACCTGCCTGACCCTACCTGCATTACCTTACCAAATGAAATCTGTAAGACTCTTCTGGAATTTCTAGCATGGGGCTTTGGAAAGTGTTTATAAAGGATCTGCTGCTGCCCAGGGAGGCGGCTTTTTTTTTTTTTTTTTGCTGTGCAGGATCAGAAAGCATCTTGTGAAGAAACCCCATGAATAATTGAATAATTAGGAATATAGTATACAAATTAAAGATCCAACTAGTAAACAGGTATTATTGGGACGAGACCTCAAATTCATTCAGCAAGTTTGCCTTGTGAGTGCACAGAAATAGGCAGTAAGCTATAAACTGCCACTGGAAATGAAAGGATCGGCTCCGGCTCTGTGGCAAGAGTTTCACTATTTACTTCAGCACAGTTGTTTCACCCACATGTGGGGTTCTCATTCGTAAGTACATCCTCTAACACTAGCAGTAGTCCACAACTCAGCAGGGAGATGAGCAGACTGAATCACACGTCCCCTCCAGTAGTTTGTATTTGGAAGGATCTCAGCACTGCACTCTGCTATGGACAGATTTGGGAAGCCAGGGAACGACTTGCACTTCTTTCAAGGAGTTTCCAGCAACCTCCCATCATAACACAGCAAGGATTCAGGGGTTAAGCTGCAAAATCCCTGGATGGTGAGGGAGCTGCAAAAGAGCAGGGCTTGCTTTACGATGGCTTGCTTGATCCCCCACGGTTGTCCCTGATACTTTTCAGCATTGTTCCTTTTGCTTCAGCTCTGAAAAGACTTCTGAGTGTGACTTAAAAGCATGGAAGGGCCTTGCAAAAGCACCTTTTCCTGAATTACACTTTTAGCTTCCTGAATTTCATTTCTAGTTCATTTCTTTACTAGCTACCGAGGCCACAGCAAAGCCGGTAGCTTTGCTTATCCTGCCCTCCATGCACACAGCTCACCCTCAAAAGGAGGAAGGAGCTGAAGAGAGAGTGTTAGAGAAGTAGGTGACCAGGGGATCTCCATGGGATACCACTGCCTGTGAAAACGTAACCACTGCAACAACAAAGACATATCGCCTACTGCTCTCTGCTGTGCGTACAGGTTTTAGGGGGGTGGCTGTGAGCCCCCTCCAGCAAGGCCAGTCCTGGGAGTCTAGGGAAACACCTACCACTGAACAAACAACCGTAAATAACTAGTGAGCAATGTGGATAACAACGCACACAGCCCAGTGCACAGGAGTCAATTTGATGGGCTTTTTTTTCATTTCTGATGTAGCTGCAATGACATGAGATGTGAATGCACAGAATAAGGTAGGAGATGCTTTATCTAGGCTGTACAGAAAATACAATGAAGTACGACTAATCCTTGGCAGCAAAGGGCGCACTGAGTGAGGAGCCTGGGACTCGGGCCTGACCCGGGATGCCCTCAGGTGTTCCCTCAGACATGTCTTTCCCGAGATGTAGGTGGGAAGAACACTCCAAGGTCTGGCAAGGGATCGGCTTTTTAGAGGCAAAGTGCTGCAGAAATCTTTAGGGTTGATGGAGCCAGGGCTGACACACAAAGCCTGGCACAGCTCTGAAGTTCCCCGGGAACTTCACGTGCCATCAGGTCAGGGACACCCCACCACTCATGCACAGTGACACCAGCCACAACAACAGTGTCAACAATGGCGTGCAGGACGAAAGCTTAGCAAAACGATGCCCAGACTTACGCAGCTCTTCCCGACCACGTCGAAGTGCGACAACGCACAGGCTTGCTTCTTCACCTCCTCCATCCCAAAGATGCAGACGGCGGTGTCGTTCCAGGCCTTGTCGTTCAAGGCCTCAGGGTCGCGACTGTGGCGGAAAACACCCACCCACCAGCCCCGTTCACCCTGGCGGACAAGGCTGGAGGAAACGATGAGGCCCCTGCACCCGCACTCCAAATACACGTGCCCTTTCAAAGTAAGGCCACCCTCCGAGGGGCTGTGCAGCTGGTGCAGGACAGCCATGCTCGGTGGCTCCGTGTTGTTGGCCTCCCTGGCCTTCAACTTGTAGTAGGGAAAGAAGAAGTGATCCCCCCACTGGAGCGCGTCGACGAAGTGCAAAGGCTCGTTCTTGCGCTTGATGATGCCCAGATCCTCCTTGGTCAACAGGTCGACCACTCTGCGCACCGTGATGACGGTCGCCTCGTCCGACTGGGAGGGCTCGCACTTCAGACGGCTCCTGTAGGGGAGGGCCGAGTAGGTGGCCGCCAACGCCAGGTACCAGACGTTGGCCACCTGGAAGACGACGCCGGCGGTGGAGCCATCGGGCAGGCAGCTGACCACCTCGCTGCGGTTGACGCGCAGGTGGTAGGTCGGTTGCTCCCACACCTCGCAGTGGCCGTTCGTCTGGGTCCAGCCGGTCAGCACGACGCCCACCCCGCGGGACTCCTCGTAGGCCAGCAGCAGGTTGCTGCGGACGTCGGGGGGCTCCCCGCAGCCCTGCTCCTCCGTCGCCGGCATCACACGGCGGCGGAGCCCCAGCTCGGGCCCCAGCTCGTAGACGCAGCTGCCGCCCGCCACCAGCACGCCGCCGCCGCTCACCTCGATGTTGTCGATGGGGGCCCCCGGCAGCTCGAAGCTCTGGGGGCCGCCGGCGCC